ACAGAATGAAGAGAATCAAAAAGAAAAGTTTTCACGTGCCCACAGGTATCTGATGAACTTCCTGCTGGACGCCACGCTGGGGATGCTCGTCATCTGGGTGGCTGTGAAGTTGGTCTCCAGACTGGTGGAGATCAAGCAGTGGAGTTTGCTTCAGTTTGGAGAATATGGTGAGAAAAACACCAACACTGTCCACTGAGGGAAAGGAGCCTCCCTCTGGTTTCTACCACTAGAGGGTGCTGTAGACCCAGAGCTGTTGAGCGTCCTCCTCCTTCTATGATAGAAAACTTTTCTAGAACAAGCCGCCAGGCTGTAGACAATAAGCTGAACGTCTCCTGTCCACCAGGGGACCCTCCCCAGGCTGCAGCGTGGCTTGGTCAGGGTGGCGTCTACCTGCTCATCATGGTGCTGGAGAAAGGTGTGATCAGCCTGGTTCTGCTCATCCCAGGATGGTCCAAGGTAAGGGGGAGGGGCTCCTCCAGTATGTACTTCCCTGCTCAGACTGGACAAGTTTGCAGTTAGGCCCGAAACGCCAACGCCAGGGCATAGAAAACAGACTGACCTAGAACAGTCCGAACTTATTGACCAGAGCATAGAAAACAAAACGAGCTAAAACAGTCCGAACTTATTTACCGATCATAGAAAGCAACTAGAACAGTCCGAACTTATTAACCGATCATAGAAAACAACTAGAACAGTCCGAACTTATTAACCGATCATAGAAAACAACTAGAACAGTCCGAACTTATTAACCGAACTTATTAACCGATCTTAGAAAACAACTAGAACAGTCCGAACTTATTGACCCAAGCATAGAAAACAACTAGAACAGTCCGAACTTATTAACCGATCATAGAAAACAACTAGAACAGTCCAAACTTATTGACCGATCATAGAAAACAACTAGAACTGTCCGAACTTATTAACCGATCATAGAAAACAACTAGAACAGTCCAAACTTATTAACCGATCATAGAAAACAACTAGAACAGTCCGAACTTATTAACCGGTCATAGAAAACAACTAGAACAGTCCGAACTTATTAACCTATCTTAGAAAACAACTAGAACAGTCCGAACTTATTGACCGGAGCATAGAAAACAACTAGAACAGTCCGAACTTATTGACTGGAGCATAGAAAACAACTAGAACAGTCCGAACTTATTGACTGGAGCATAGAAAACAACTAGAACAGTCCGAACTTATTGACCGGAGCATAGAAAACAACTAGAACAGTCCGAACTTATTGACCGGAGCATAGAAAACAACTAGAACAGTCCGAACTTATTGACCGGAGCATAGAAAACAACTAGAACAGTCCGAACTTATTGACTGGAGCATAGAAAACAACTAGAACAGTCCGAACTTATTGACCGGAGCATAGAAAACAACTAGAACAGTCCGAACTTATTGACCGGAGCATAGAAAACAACTAGAACAGTTTGAACTTATTGACCGGAGCATAGAAAACAACTAGAACAGTCCGAACTTATTGACCGGAGCATAGAAAACAACTAGAACAGTCCGAACTTATTGACCGATCATAGAAAACAACTAGAACAGTCCGAACTTATTGACCAGAGCATAGAAAACAAACCGACCTAGAACAGTCCGAACTTATTGATCGATCATAGAAAATAACTAGAACAGTCCGAACTTATTAACCGATCTTAGAAAATAACTAGAACAGTCCAAACTTATTGACCGGAGCATAGAAAACAACTAGAACAGTCCGAACTTATTGACCGGAGCATAGAAAACAACTAGAACAGTCCGAACTTATTGACCGATCATAGAAAACAACTAGAACAGTCCGAACTTATTGACCGATCATAGAAAACAACTAGAACAGTCCGAACTTATTGACCGATCATAGATAACAACTAGAACAGTCCGAACTTATTGACCAGAGCATAGAAAACAAACCGACCTAGAACAGTCCGAACTTATTGACCGATCATAGAAAACAACTAGAACAGTCCGAACTTATTGACCGATCATAGATAACAACTAGAACAGTCCGAACTTATTGACCAGAGCATAGAAAACAAACAGACCTAGAACAGTCCGAACTTATTGACCGATCATAGAAAATAACTAGAACAGTCCAAACTTATTGACCGGAGCATAGAAAACAAACCGACCTAGAACAGTCCAAACTTATTGACCGATCATAGAAAATAACTAGAACAGTCCGAACTTATTAACCGATCTTAGAAAATAACTAGAACAGTCCAAACTTATTGACCGGAGCATAGAAAACAACTAGAACAGTCCGAACTTATTGACCGGAGCATAGAAAACAACTAGAACAGTCCGAACTTATTGACCGATCATAGAAAACAACTAGAACAGTCCGAACTTATTGACCGATCATAGAAAACAACTAGAACAGTCCGAACTTATTGACCGATCATAGATAACAACTAGAACAGTCCGAACTTATTGACCAGAGCATAGAAAACAAACCGACCTAGAACAGTCCGAACTTATTGACCGATCATAGAAAACAACTAGAACAGTCCGAACTTATTGACCGATCATAGATAACAACTAGAACAGTCCGAACTTATTGACCAGAGCATAGAAAACAAACAGACCTAGAACAGTCCGAACTTATTGACCGATCATAGAAAACAACTAGAACAGTCCAAACTTATTGACCGGAGCATAGAAAACAACTAGAACAGTCCGAACTTATTGACCGGAGCATAGAAAACAACTAGAACAGTCTGAACTTATTGACCGGAGCGTAGAAAACAACTAGAACAGTCCGAACTTATTGACCGGAGCATAGAAAACAACTAGAACAGTCCGAACTTATTGACCGGAGCATAGAAAACAACTAGAACAGTCCAAACTTATTGACCGATCATAGAAAACAACTAGAACAGTCCGAACTTATTGGCCGGTCATAGAAAACAACTAGAAAAGTCCAAAAGTTATTAACCAATCATAGAAAACAACTAGAACTGTCCGAACTTATTAACCGATCATAGAAAACAACTAGAACAGTCCGAACTTATTAACCGGTCTTAGAAAACAACTAGAACAGTCCGAACTTATTAACCGGTCATAGAAAACAACTAGAACAGTCCGAACTTATTGACCGGTGCATAGAAAACAAACTGACCTAGAACAGTCCGAACTTATTGACCGATCATAGAAAACAACTAGAACAGTCTGAACATATTGGCCGATCATAGAAAACAACTAGAACAGTCTGAAATTATTGACCGATCATAGAAAACAACTAGAACAGTCCAAACTTATTGACCGGAGCATAGAAAACAACTAGAACAGTCATAACTTATTGACCGGAGCGTAGAAAACAACTAGAACAGTCCGAACTTATTGACCGGAGCATAGAAAACAACTAGAACAGTCCAAACTTATTGACCGATCATAGAAAACAACTAGAACAGTCCGAACTTATTGGCCGGTCATAGAAAACAACTAGAAAAGTCCAAAAGTTATTAACCAATCATAGAAAACAACTAGAACTGTCCGAACTTATTAACCGATCATAGAAAACAACTAGAACAGTCCGAACTTATTAACCGGTCTTAGAAAACAACTAGAACAGTCCGAACTTATTAACCGGTCATAGAAAACAACTAGAACTGTCCGAACTTATTGACCGGTGCATAGAAAACAAACCGACCTAGAACAGTCCGAACTTATTGACCGATCATAGAAAACAACTAGAACAGTCTGAACATATTGGCCGATCATAGAAAACAACTAGAACAGTCTGAAATTATTGGCCGATCATAGAAAACAACTAGAACAGTCTGAACTTATTGACCGGAGCATAGAAAACAACTAGAACAGTCCGAACTTATTGACCAGAGCATAGAAAACAACTAGAACAGTCTGAACTTATTGGCCGATCATAGAAAACAACTAGAACAGTCCTAACTTATTGACCGAACATAGAAAACAACTAGAACAGTCTGAACTTATTGGCCGATCATAGAAAACAACTAGAACAGTTTGAACTTATTGACCGATCATAAAAAAACAACTAGAACAGTCCAAACTTATTGACCGAACATAGAAAACAACTAGAACAGTTTGAACTTATTGACCGAACATAGAAAACAACTAGAACAGTCTGAACTTATTGGCCGATCATAGAAAACAACTAGAACAGTCCTAACTTATTGACCGAACATAGAAAACAACTAGAACAGTCCAAACTTATTGACCGAACATAGAAAACAACTAGAACAGTTTGAACTTATTGACCGATCATAAAAAAACAACTAGAACAGTCCGAACTGTGAAATGTTGAATTAAACTTTTACGACATTAAGAGAATCTGAGGAATTAACAGCTGCAGTATTCGAGAGATAAAGAGTCAGGCATGCAGGACTGACATGTTGCCTCCTGATATTGTTCTGAATGGCTGTAATTACTGTGATCCAGCTGCAGGAGGTGCTGCTGAGCTACATCTCCAACCCTCAGCTGGAGCTGGCGCTGGTCATGCTCATCGTTCCATTCGTCGTCAATGTAAGTTGGGTCTGAAGGCGGAGTCGGACCGAGCTCCGGCCTCACCGCCTTCCTCTGCTGCCTCCTTCAGGCCGTCATGTTCTGGGTGGTCGACAGCCTGACCATGAGGAGGCGCAAGACCAGCAAGGAGGCGTCCGAGAAGAAGGACGAGTCTCTGCCAGCAGGGGGCGGCAGCGAAGAGTCTCAGGTGACGATGGATGTTCTGGTTTTCCTTTGGTTCCGAGTCGTCAGTCCAGATCCGGTTCTAAAGCAGAACTAAACGGGTTCCACCCTGAGGACCAGGTGGACGTCCTAATGTTCTAACAGCAATCAGAATCAGAATAAAGATCTGTTCTTCCATCTGTAGAAATGTTTGCATAGATTGTTAATGGGAGCAGATAGATTTATAAACACAGCAGACCAAAATGTTATGATCTAAGATGCCAGATCCCTCCTCTGGTACCTCAAACCCCCCCCCCCCCCCCCCCCACCAAAGTTTTCCCTGCCTAGCACTAATAGCAGCAGAGTAAGAGCAGATCTTCACATGACAGAATGTGTGACATTCCACCAATGTCCACGGTAGAGATGATGCAACTTTGTTACTTTGAGCAAAATTTCAATTAATTTCATT